AAAGAAAGGACATACCTTTAGCAGAGCCTGGTCAGTTAAATATCCCATTCTCTATACCATCAGGATCCTGGGCATACAGGTCCACCCATGGTTCTCAAGCCACCGAGATTAGGATCGAACCTTGGTCAGCCACGTGGATCTGACTTCTCTGGAATGTGCTTAACTGCTGCACTGTGGGGCAGACCCCAAATTCCTTCTTGGTAGTTGAGGAAGGAGTTAGGCCTGAGAGATAAGGGCAGGAAATGGTTACTGAAACTGATGGACACAATGGGGCCTGCTTATATAGGAAGAGAGAAATACAGCCAAGTTATTAGAACTCAGGTATGAGTTAGGATCACTTCAGTTCATACGCCCAATTTATTTCAACAGACCTGACTTCATAACTCTTACCTCCCTGCAAAACTGTCCAAGGATCTTATCTATAAGAGTAAGTTCAGGGGCCAGTAGGTAGCATGGTGATTAAGGTGCTAGGCCCTCATTTGGCCAACTGCAGTTCAATCCACAGACCTGGCAGCTTGAAAATCACTCTGGGTGTGTGTGCATGCATGCCCCAAATCCTGAGAGGAGAATAGAGGAGCGAAGGATAATAAACAGCATGGCCATCCCCTCTGGGAGGTGATTAAAAAAACTTTCCCTCTCTTGGTCTCTCTCTGGCGAGCACATATGCCCTATTACCAAGAAAAACCTTCAAAATATTAAAAATTCAGTGTAAGAAAATGCAATAAACATCTTACAATTTTATTTTATTTTATTTTATTATTTTTTTTTTGGAGAGGTTTTTTTTGCTATAGGGCCCGTGCGCTCGCCAGACAGAGACAGAGAGATAGAAAGCAGGAAATCACCCCCCAGGGGGGATGGCCACACCGCAATCCCTTCTCCTCCATTCTCCTCTCGAGATCTTGGGCACGCACACACACGTGCCCAGCATGAGTTTTAAGCCACCAGGTCCGGGACTCGAACCATGATCGACTATGTGGGAGTCCAGTGACATAGCCATTACACTAACTGCTGGTCCCTTACAATTTTATTTTTGATAAACTCTAAATACATGTAAGTGTCACATTGCATAGTACTCATTATAATTAAAACTTCCTTGGTAATGGAATCATGGATTGAGATAAACTTGTAATTGTTGTTTCATTTTCATATATTATTACATAATTTTTAATCTCATTTGGATGATAGGAATTTCCTAATTTTTTTTGCATTCTAGTTCAGTATTGCAGTATTGTGTAGCTTCTTTTTTTCTTTTTTTTTTTTTTAGATTTTTACCATTGGGTACATGTGCTCGCCTAAGAGAGACAGTGAGAAACAGAGAGAGAGAGAGGGAAGGTGACAAATCATTCCCCATAGGGCATGGCCTCACTGCAATCCCTTCTCCTTCATTGTTTTCTCGGGACTTTGGACATGCACGTACATGTGCCCGGTATGAGTTTATTCCTCTGGGTCTGGGACTTGCACCGCCTTTGGCCAAATGGGAATCTAGTGCCCTTAGCACCATGCTACCTGCTGGCCCCTTTGTAGTTTGTTCTTAGGAACAACATAATCACGTGATTCACTAACAAACTCATCTGTTCTGAGTCTCCTTTGCTTAGTTTCTGACTTTTTCTTGTCTTGACTTTGAGGTCTGTTACTACAGGGTTTTGTCCAAAGACCTTTGTATTATTCAACCTGAAAAGAATGATCTCTCTGGGTATTAATTCATGCCAGTACCCTGCTTCTGTAGCTCAAGTTGATTTCATTCTTCCTGTGTGCTAACACTCCACACCTGCCCACCTCCCATCACTTACCAAGCCTTGTTGGTGCCACTGCAACAGAATTTATTTTTTTCTGCAAAAGAAGAATAATCCATAATCTAATGTAAATTATATTTAAGAATAGCTCTTTCTTGGTGTACTTATCTCATTCTAAAGTTATTTTAATACTTTTTCTAATGACTAAGAAAACCTTTTTGTCAAATGCAACTGAACATTCTTTTTCCCAAAATATTCATGTTACTCCAGAATTATCTCTATACTGTAGAGTTTAAATTGTTTTAAAAATGCTTCTGTTTTTGGATATGAACAGATGTTTTTAATGGGATTTTAGCACATACTTTTAAAATAGCCATATGTGCTCTTAAATGTTTTAGCCATAGAATTTCACATGTAGATTATCTTAACATAAAGAAAATTTGTTGTTTAGTAGAGCAGGTACTTTTTTTATATATAAAAAGTGACATTGGAACCAAATGTTTTCTTTTTGATTTTATCAAAGTATATATAATAAAAAGAATGTTAGTAGTTGTATTAAAACTTTTGACAAAATATTGTGAGATTTCTAAAGAATTGGTTTCATAAGGAATATGAACAATTGTGGAAAATGGGTTGTGTTTTACTTTTTGTTCTTTTAGTGCTTTTACCTCTAACTTTTTTCAACAATTAATTTTCTTAATTGAATACTTACTTTTCTGTTCATGTGTGTTTTTCAGTAATAGTAACAAATATACACCTTTTATTTACAGCTGTTAAATTTAAAAAATTATAAAATTAATCTGTTTTGAACTTCATCTTCCTCCATTATAGGACTTAGGCAGAAAATGTTGTCCAAGCACATTTTGTTTTTCTCCCTTAATTTTCCTTTCTTCTTAGATATTTTTCTGTTATGTTTGAATTATCAATGAAATACAATATTCTTTTCCATAAAAACTACTCTCATTCATCTTGTATATATCTCTACATGATATCTTGACCAGGTTCATACTCTTCCTTTAGATTCATATCATAGTTGGGTGAAAACTCCTTCAAATACTTATTTTAATTCTTTAAATCTTCTGATATGAGATAAGTCACTCATCAAAATGTACTACTAGAAGAAATAGTGAAGTAGGTAGATGTGGAGTTTTTTGCTGCCAATAGCCACAGCCTTCTAATTATTAGATGTCAGTGTATGAATTTTGAATTTTGAAGTCTGAGAAAACTAATAGATATTGGGGAGTATTTTACTTGGTTTATAATGCTATAACTGACATGGACTTTTCTCATTGTAATAAAGTATGTTTGGTTTGCCTTACCTTGAATTATTATGATTATGATTGTGATTCATTTGCGAGAGGGCGTGTGTGTTCACTGAGGAATGACAGAGAAAAGCAAAGTGAGAAACCCCCCACCCCCATCGAGGATGGTCAAGCCACAATCCCTCCTCCTCATTTCACCTTTCGAGATACACACCTGGTGTGTTTCTTAAAGCCGCTGGTCACTGACTTGAACAGTGAGGTCAGCCATGTGGGATCCAGCCACCTCAACTACCATGCCACCAGCTGGCCCTGAATTATTACTAGTGCCATCATTAAAATAGATAAATACTCCACTTTGCTCCCATTAGTGTCTGTTTAGATTTAATAAATAAAATAAACAGAATAAAAATGTTCTTACACTGAAAAAATCACATTCTATCTTTGGTTATTTTTTCATATGTAACTAATTTATTTTATTTGAACTGCTAATAGCAAGTGAATAAATGTTTCTTTGTGTTGTTTTGTAGAGGTTATACATAATACATTGTATCTGCATTTCCATTGTTGGGATATATTCTCATATTGATTAGGAAGCATCCACTTGATAGTCATGTTCAGCTCTGAATGTTCTGACGTGATGCATTAGCCTACAGGGTCACATTTTGTAGCATCTAACTTAAGAGACGTTTCTCATAACATTTGCTTCTGTGAGTACAGAAGCTTCTTTTATTTATTCTAGTTGAACCTTACGTTCATGCATTTAAACATATTATTTTCATTGAGTATAAAAACACATCCATGAACAGTCCTCACTTGTGTTTCTTCGAACTAAGTTCTATACCAAGATCTAATTACAAACTGATGACATTCATACTTCTAAAGCAGCCGTAATGGATACTATACCTTCAGATAAGTCACCTTTAGAGGTGTTGTATCTAATTATATTACTGTTGCAGAAACAATTTTTGGAAATTCCTTTTGAAATTTGTTTCAGAAACTCTTTCTGGGATTCTAACATCAATTGTTCCTTTATAGTCTAAGAACTGTCCTGTATTCATCAGATGTTGATCTGATAAATTCCCTTCAAAACAAAGATTTACAGTTATT